TAACTTATGGGTAGGTAGTATATTATAAAATATATTATAAAATACATACTAATTAATAAGTATTAAGTAAGTAATAACTAATAAGTATAAAAATATTATGAGCTATTGTGCATTATAATACATATCTAATATGTATATGAATAAATAATAATATATTTAACATACCTAGGTACATAAAAATATAATATTTTCAAACTTAATAGTTTTTCGATGTCATATCTAATATAAGTGAACTATAATGCTACAAATCACTCTGCAGAGAAAACATACGAAATAAGAAAAACTCTAAACAATATAAACCATAATATAAACTTAGGTAAGTATTTGAAGTTCTTTAAAATGTATAAATTATTTTATAAAATGTATATAAACGCATATTTGTAAGCAGAAATGGTTTAATGACCCTAGTATGACACTAGTCATATAAATTCGATAATAATTGTACATGAATTATAGAATATTAAAATCAAGGAAACGTTATTCTGTAATGTGGAAATTTAATATAGCACCCATTTATAGATGTTACCCAACTATACCAATACAAATATTGCATGACTAAATGAATATTATGAATCATACATTATAATATAGGCACTTCCGAGGTTCCGTATTATACCTTGATCTTTTAGAATATCATATTGTTAATGGGTACTCGACATAAATATTTTACTATATTATTATTATTATTAGTACTTGTATGTCTATATCCCGATTAGATAATATAATATTTATACTAATATTCATAATTTATTATTAAATAACAATGTGTTAACGTCAGGACAAAATATTTTAATAAAATATCAATCAATTATCAATACGCAATGCCTATAATATAGTATAATATATAAAATTCTTATAAAACTATACTAACGGTTTCATCAATCAATGGATAATAGATCTATATTTATTGGTTTATTTTGTTTTATTTTTCTTAGCAGAGAAATATTAGACCTCACCGAGAAAAACTCGATGCTATACAGATTGTACAATTATATAAAGTTAAAGTACACATAATACCATAACTATTATAGATACTTAATATTAATTACACAATATTAACAAAAGTCAAAATTGATATGTAACTATTAAAATAATATTTTTAATATCACACCATATAGACGGTACACCTAACTAATATTAAATTTATATATTATAATAATATAATAATAACGTAATTTATTTTTGAGTTCAGTAATAAATAATAATAGCCAATAGGTACATACTACTTAGATATTATACTAAATACAATCAGAGGAGAGCCGAGTTTAACTAATTTTAAGAGAACGCCACAGTTGTTTTCAGTTCTGTTACAAACACGTATTATTATAGCATATTAGCATGCACATATTTTGTGTTCAGAATTCACGTTTAGATTCGTTAATTTTAATATTAAGGTAAATTGTTCTATTCAATTGATCACATTTTAAAATAATGATATTGTCTGTGTTCTGTTTTCTGTAGTGTTTTTTTCTAGTTATTTTTACTTAGAAACGAGTAATAGGTATAAGACTATAAGAGTGTAAAATTACAATTTAAAAAATATGCTCTAAACTAACTATCATCAAAATTAAAATATCGAAAAAGCCACTACAAACCACAGACAATAATTGTGTTACCACATACCATATATGATATTATAATAGATTGATTCACGGCTAATATTAAACACTTGTATAGGTCCCGACGGAGTCACGGAAATATCAAATGTAGGTATAGCGCCCTCAGAGGCAGCAAATTTGATTATTATTTATTTGAAGTAGGTATAGTGATTTTGTGTCAGTTGAAAATATTTAAAATAATAAAATGTGGACAATTAATTGGCAGTTGGTTATTTTAAATCAATTAAGCACTGCTCAAGGGCAGCAATATCTTATTACGTATAGATATTCCGAGTCAATACTTTTTCCCTGACTAAGTGAAATATACTTTTTTAAATTACATTTTAGTGATAGAAATATTTGACTTCTTCTGTATTTTTTAACGATGTTACTGCAGAATAATGACAATTGGTAATATAAAATATTACAATAATTGAACGATGAATAATTCGTAATGATCAAATGATGCACTATAAATTATTATAATGATTTAATGATTAGGTAATAGCCAATAGGTATTGATTATATACGTACCCAGTGTAGTACAGTACACAGTACACACTACACACACATAATATATATTTATATATACAGAAATATATTATATATATAGTATATTATATTATATCTTTGTTATAAATAATTCATAACTATATAATTTGACAATACAATATCATCACACAGTGTAGTGAGTGTATGTTATCGAAATCTCATCATAATTGTCGGCAGTCGGCACTTCCACAACTTTTTTTTTTTATTTGTACAATCTGTATAAAAATAATTTCAATAAGCACAATGGAGGGATAATTCATTATAGGTCATTGGTTATGGGTTGGCTTGATGAAGAAGCTATTCATTAATAGCACTTCATGTAACTTCCACAACTTAAAAACAAATTTATAAAAGGAGAACAATCAGGGTCGTATTAAGCAATCTAGGAAAAAAAATCCCCAGAGCTAGACTGTGGGATACAGCTGTGACTGCAGCTTGTAATTTGGTACTATACGTCTATACTCATTTAAACAATACAACAAAAAATTTAAAATCCATTTCCTACATAACTTAGAAAACAGAATAAGAAATTCAAATATGTTTTCAAAATTAAAAAAGGGCTTTTGATACCGGGTGAATTTTTCTTCTGCTTTTTGAGACTTTCGTGTTGAAACTTTTTTGATTGGAAAATATATATAGTGATGTACTGATGTATAACTGCACGTATGTACGTTCGGATTCCCAAGAATCTTAGCGGTAGTTTATCTTTAATGACATAAATCGTTCGGGGAACTCACACGAGTCACACTCAGTCACAAACTCACAAATTACTCACGATGGATATAGAATATTGCCTAGATCCGACCCCTTAAAAATGGTTCACTTTCAACAGCTGCCTATTAGCCTAAACAATATTAGTTACTTAGATTGAAAATAATTCGTTCCAGAATGGTTTTAGAGCATAAACACAAATAACCAAAATTAAAGAAAATAATATTTTAGAGGGCATCTCGGAAGAATTGTCTTCATTATTTTAATTATAACGCTCAAATTTTTGTTTAAAGTAAAACGTTAAAAAAATGTCAATGAACCGTAACTTTAAAAACAAAAAACTTTTTTGAAAAATTTCTCTTGGGTACCCTCGGAAATATTATTTTCTTAAACTTTATTCCTAGGTGTTTAGCTGTAAAACCACCCTACAGTAAGTTATTTCCAATCTAAATGGTCTTGTTTTTGATACAGAAAAATGGTGATACAGCGTCCTCTTAAAATATAATCTAACAATTAAGAGGACGTGATACCCCCGCATGTGTTTTCTCCGTCTCACAAGTGCATAAAATAGCAAATTTTACGCAAAGCAGAACATGTGCAGCTCCGTTAGCATAGGCGTAACTAGACCTTAAAGTTAGGGGGGGCTTAAGCCCTAACATATTTAATATGAATAACAAATACCGTTAGCTTAAAATTAAAGTAAATTGACCTCTTATAAAATCTGAAGGTAAGATTTTCATCTAGACAACCTAATGTGCTTTTTATTATATTTTAATTTTTAAGCGAGTCATGAGTACTTAATACATTTGTACAAAATGTACTAACAATTTACAATTTTAAAATACTCATAATTCGCTTTAAAATTAAAATATAATAAAAAGCCCATGAGGTTGTCTAGATAATAATCTTATTACCTTTAGATTTTATAAGAGGTCAATTCACTCTAACTTTTAAGGTAACGGAGGTACACGTGTTCTGCTTTGCGTATAATTTGCTATGTTACGCACTCGTAAGACAGAGACAATACATGCGGGTATCACATCCTCTCAACTACAAAGTCGTAATGTCGTATAATAGTAGTAAGTTGTAACTTGTAGATACCTAGTTATTGTATGCGGGTAGCGCGGCGGCTATAATATTATATCAATATAATAATATGTAGTGATAATTTTAAAAATAGCATACAGATTGTAAATGTTACGAAAACAAGGTAAAATTATTAATTAATATTAAATAAATTTTATTCTACTAAATATTTTATTTTTAATATTACATACGAATATATTATGATGTTATCGACTTTTTTGGCCTGGAGCAAGTAGCAACTGATTCCTTTGCTCCCCCCCCATGATGTGCTACTCAGAACAATACGTCCCGTACCTCGATTATACCGTCCTATAGGAACTCAAATACCAATATTAAGTATTAATAATTGTTCTGTGATAATAATTAATTAAATAATAATACATCATAAATTATTATCTATTGTTATTTATTATTGTACTTTACGAATTTCTGTGGCGGCCACAACGATTACACTGCTATTTTTTACGTCGGGGATTACATGACATTATTTTCTGGTTAAAAATCGTGTGACTAACGTAGGAAAAATTCGTAGTTACTACCTAGTTATAAAAAAATAGTAAAAATATTATTTGGCTGCGGCCACTGTATACAAGAATATCTATGGTGCCACCGTGAAAAACCTGTTCGGGGGTTTGGTACACTTGTTTGATAAGGAGCGTCGCGATTGCATATTCCTGATAAGCGAATGACGAATGTCCAACCATAGAACAAGTCCAACTCAGCGGAGCCGCGGCAGTGTTGTTAAATGTTAATTGTTATGCAGTATTGCACTATTGCAGTGTTAAGTCACTAGTCTGTGTCGGCGTTGTTTGTCGGTACGATTTCTTTTTATATCGCCTCCGCAGTATTATCTGCCTCCGTTCCTATAATATACTATACAATCTGGCAGGTCCATTTGACATTTAGTATTCGTCGCTCGTCCGTCGCGTTTGTTATCATGTCTGCTGTGCGCGCGTGACACGACGGTGCATAATTTCGAGTCGTCGCCGGTGCTTGCGTACGTGCGTGTGTGTGCTTTGAATATCTATTTTCGTTTATGCGAATCGGCCGATAATGCTGGGTTGGCTGAGGAAAGATGAAGGCAAGAAGATCGAGACGTACGAGTCCGTCCTGGACGGGCTACGGGAGAAGTACAAGTCCAAACTGTTGCCCCTGGAACTGGCGTACCAGTTTCACGATTTCCACTCTCCGCAGCTGGACGACCCCGACTTTGACGCCAAGCCCATGATACTGCTGGTCGGTCAGTACTCCACGGGCAAAACTACGTTCATCAAACACCTCTTAGAATCCGATTTTCCGGGCATTCGCATTGGGCCCGAACCCACCACCGACCGTTTCATAGCTGTAATGTATGATGACAACGAATCGATTATTCCAGGGAACGCGTTGGTAGTAGACCCAAAACGACAATTCAGACCTCTGTCGAAATTCGGCAACGCATTCCTCAATCGGTTTCAGTGTTCTTTAGTCAATTCCCCTGTCCTAAAGGGTATCTCAATAGTTGATACACCCGGTATTCTATCAGGAGAAAAACAAAGAGTGGACAGGGGTTATGACTTCACCGGCGTATTAGAGTGGTTTGCTGAGCACGTGGATAGAATTATTTTGCTTTTTGATGCCCACAAATTGGACATATCAGATGAATTCCGTAGATCAATAGAAGCACTACGAGGTCATGACGATAAAATTAGAATTATTTTAAATAAAGCTGATATGATTGATCATCAACAACTGATGCGTGTTTACGGAGCACTGATGTGGTCCTTAGGAAAAGTTCTTCAAACTCCTGAAGTAGCCAGGGTTTATATTGGATCCTTTTGGGACAAACCATTACGATATGATGGTAACAGAAGGTAATAGTTATGCTAAGTATTATATAATTTAATTAATCATTCATAAATTGTATTTCATACAATTGGATATAAACTATAATTACATACATATATTAAACATATGAGTTGTGATAATATGTGTTGAGATTAAACTAAGTAGGTACTTTGTTGTTCCCCTTCTTCCATCCCTGGTTGTTTCATTATTGCCAAATTTTAATTATTTGTATGACTAAATAGATAATAATATTCCAATATCTATCTAGTATGATAACTAAACAATAGAACATTAATAAAATGTAGGTACCTATGACTCTTTCAAGAATACTTAACTTTGTATTTAGTTAATTTCAATAACTACCTACTAATTTGAACTATTATCTGTTATTAATAATATTATGCTTGTACATATGTTATAAAGTCATACAATTAATTACTTATTTAATTTTTTTAATTGAAATAAATATGTGAAAAGTTCAACGTTAATTTATTAAAGTTGCCTTTGTTTAGATTTGAACAATGTACCTAAAGGATTGCTTTGCTCTATTAGATTTATTTGAAATTAATCATATTGTTTACAAAATAGATACACTTTATAAATTAAATTCTTCAACCAGATCAATTAGAGTGCTCTTGTGGGTTTAGTGTAACTGATGCTAATTAGACCAATAAAAGTAGATCGGGTATTAACTATTAAGTTTAAGACAATTGACTAACCAATTATATTTACATTATGACAATTGGCTATAAATTGTTCCAGTTTCCAATGATTAGAGATCCATTTTATATTTATATATATATCTAGGTATTGTTATTTTCTTTATTTCTAAGTAGATAAACAAGGTTAGTGGGTCAATACTTTCAACACCATACTACTCACCATAACAAATGTTTTGACAATGTACAATTGTACAAACAATATTATGAATATAATAAATTATTTAATTTAATTGTAGTTGTAACAAACCAATAGAAAGTTCACTAGTGAATTTTGTGAAAAATTTGACTTTTTTAGTTAGTTTAATGATCAAAAATTAAAAAAATTAAAATTAAAAAAATACCTATTATATTTTATTAGTTAAATTAATTACATTACAATAATTGGCATACTGTTATCTAAATTGAAGGTTTTCAGTTAATATAATACCTATGTTACCACTTACCTATTATGTACTTATTTTTTTTTACATATTTATGTAGGTAATTACATATCTACGCATATCTACTTAATTGAATAATTTGAAATTTATAATAATATGATGTTCAACGTGTGTACGACCTATTCAATGAAATGGGATAAAAAACTGGGACGTCTAAATTTATACCTAGGTAGATAGATCGTAATTAATTGAATTGCTTAAAACTTTTTTTTTAAATATACTTTTGTTTTATATAAATTAAAATGTAATACAATTATTTATAGAAACAAATTAGTACGATGTATGTAGATAAACGTTTCGAATTAATTAAAGTGTTGGTAAGTCGTAAGTACCCACGTAGATATTATCGGTACCAATAAATAATCTATAAAACGAAAATATTCACATTCTTTCACATTTCAATTTGTATTTTTATATTATATTAACTAAAAAATAATACTTAAACACAGTTAATGTTTTCAAGTGCACTACGAGAGGATACATAGATAAATTGCCGTCACGCCCATACAAGTTATTTTAAAAGCCTAATTTAAGCACAATGCACGTCAGTTTGTAATTTTCGTAATTATTTGTTGCATTTGAATACTTTTAATTTCAGGGTTAGAAACATCCATTGAAACACTTTCAAATGAAATAATAATGATATTATAGAATTTATTATATTAAATATATGTATCTACAACCTACAATAATATTATGTTCGAATAATAGCAAGGCGTGTGTTAATGCAACTACATTACAAGCAAGAGCTTAAACACACACATTTGAAATACCGACTAAACAGACCATTAAAATTATTTTATGACGACGGTATCATATTTTATCTAATATGTACATCTGCTTGTAAATAATGTGGTCGGGGAAACTTTGAATATTAGTATAGTTAATAAATATTTAACGTCCCAATTCGTATGAAATATAACTGATATTATATTTTACCTATCCATATTTCAAAACGTTCAAAAAGAAAGCGATTCTGACTGGAGCCTGTTGTAGGATCTTCGCGAGTTTTCTAACAGCCGTAATTTCTTTTCCTTACAGCACGACCAGTTAGTAGTTACAACTTACAAGTAAGGTCAGTGTCTAGAACTGCAATTCATAAAATATATAAAGACCTCATATTCGTACAATTGATTGTCACGTTTATTTACTATAAACTTCGAATTCTCAAGAAACAATTAACTTCACGTAATTCTTGTGTTTCTATTCTATTTAGGTCTCAGGTGCCAGAGTGGCATAGTTGTTTTGATCAAGCGTTAAAGTTTGAAATTCCAAGTATAAATTATTAAATATAATATCATTAATTACAAATAATATTATCATTTATCACTAAAAGTAAAATTGAGAATTTAAGTCTGTGGGGACTCAGAAAATGTTAAACTTACAGCCTTTACATACTTTTCGTCTTGTATTACACGCCCTTAAATTTGTCTTTATTAAAATTAATGCTATTTTTTTATAATTTTTATCGAGTGGTCATTCCAAATAATAAAAATAATTGTGCACATAAATTATGAAATAAAATAAATTAAGTGGGTTTATTATATAGATCAATTCGGATTAATTATATAATTACGTAATTCGGAAAATTTGTCATTAAACTGATATTTTTTTTTTTCAGAAGATACAATTGTTTCATCCTTGGTTGCTAGTTATTATAGTGTTATATAATATTTACTTTTAACCTATAATAACGTTTATCTGTGTGAACTTTTTCAAACCCTATTTTTTTTATCCTTATCTAATAATAATATTTGTTTTGACTGTGAATTCGCGAAATGCTAAATTTTTTGCTTAGTTTATACGTTTTTTATCTGTATACTTGGTGATTCTTTTATCAGTAATTATTACATATTATATATATATTTTTTTTTTATTAGTTATCCCGCGGCAACTTAGGCCATTGGGAGGGGGGTTGGAACTGTAGGTTTTTAACGGTAGGTGAGTGTATTTTGGCAGAATTTCGAATGGGGCACCCGTAGGTTTCTGCCATGCCCCAGAGTTGGAGAAGGCGGCACTTGTTCTCCGGACACCGTGACTTGCCCGGAGAAAAAATGCCGCCCAGTGGTCGAGAATCGAACCCGCGACTGCCAGCGCCGCGGCCGACGCGTTAGACCGCTCGGCCACCTCATCCCACATATTATATTATTGTAACATCAAAATCGAATTGTTTTTGAAATTTTTTTTATATAATTTTAAATAAAAACAAAACAACATTTTTCAAAGACCTTTATATTTTTACTATTTGTTTGCTTTTAAATGATAACATACATTTCATACTCTGAAATTTCAAATATTTTCTTAGAATTTTGGACTACTTAATTAGTTAGTTACCTATAATTTATTAGTTATTAGTATTTAAAGTTTAGGTGAGTAGAGTAGTGCAACATTTTGCGGGTTGCTGGGATAGTTATGTGCCACTTCACTCCTCTAAACTTTAAATACTTATATAAGTTGTATAATACATATTGTTATAAGTTTTAACTAATTAACTACCTACCCATTCGAAAGTTGATATTTACAATGAATATAAATTATTTTATCATAATATTATGTATATTATATAATATAATATATTACATTAAATTTTAAATGGAATGCGTATGCGCCTATGTAGATATAGTAATATGATTGTTTAGGTACATAATATTGGTAAATAACGATAAACACTTTGTTGTCCGTTAACTGCAGCGTATAAAATAAACATGTGAATTGCAATTGGGTCGATCAATGTATGCAAACGTTTGAACTTCCTGGATCTAGTATAGGTATACTATATTTTAATAATGTGATTCAAATGCTGTGCCAATAACATAATACGTAAAGTCGCTTATGATATATGTTAGGGAAAATAACCATGACGAACTGCTAATATCAGGCATCAGCCGTTGCCATTTATATTGATTCAACTGTGTTTAGTGTGTTAGAATGTTCCAATAATAATATTCATAAAATTGACATTGATGGATAATATACTCACTCAAAAGTGACTAATGGTGTATTTTTTTTTTACTCGTCGATTGAACCCGATAATCGAGTGTAAATATAGGTATAATCAAACGCAATTATTATGACTAGAGACCAGAATTATATTATGCATTTTCATATTCATACTGAGTGGCGAGTGCACAACTGTGTGGATGTTTCAAATTAAACTGATTTTACAGACGAAGTTTTATTGTGCGTATTGATGCATATTTAAAGGGTTAAGGCATATTTGTTAATCGTTATTAATGCATATAATTTGTATAATATACATTATTTTATAATAAAAAAACAACTTTTTAATCTTTCTTTGGTCTTTTTTAAAATAAAAACGAGGATAAATATGTTTATCAACATTTAATTTTAAAGAATCACAGATATCTTTTTGATAGTCAAAATATTATTTTTTTTCGCTGAACATTTTGAATACTGTATTTATAACAACTATGCTTCTCCAAGAAAAAAAAAATAACATATTGGTTATTCCTCCGTTTATGATGGAACTTTGATTGAACCCACTAAACTAAATATAATAAAAATAAAAACGAATAGGTACTCGAATATAATTTTTTCGTTAAAATTTAAAAAAAAAATTGAATGTGTACAAATGATGATTTTTTTTAAAAGTTTTATTTATTTTATTATAAAGATAATTTGACAATGTAGGTATACAGTCTACTTAAGATAGGTATTCTGTATAAATAATACTCTGTAGATTTAAAAAAGATGTATTCACTTTTTTTATGTCTAATTTTTTAATGCATGTACAATGTACTACATATTTTGATTTTGTTTTGTGCATATAGAATCATATTTTTTCCATTTTGATCTTGCATATTTGCATTATATTTAGCACCTTTTTAGTGCATATATTTCCTATCTCTAATTCTGACCAATAATGTATAGAGCATACAACAGTTGTATTATAATTACCACATAATAATAATATGTAGCTTATTAAGTAGCCATTCACAATAATAATAATATTTTAAAGTTTAAGGAGGAAAACGATTAATTAGACAATTGCAAAAAGCTAGATAAATTAGATCTAGATTCGGTTTATATCTTATCGTATCCAAAATGTATACAAATTCAAGATAATATTTTCATAGATAATACAATTATTTTATCTTTTGGTTTTATAATTATTTTGTTTGTTTAGGAAAGCAATAGTGGGTTTTGTATGATTGTTTTGATTTTTTTAACATTGTTTAGAAAAAAATATAGTTGATAAATAGAAAAATAAATACGTACTTGGTTTCATAAGAAATTTGTTATTTACAATACCTATAATATAGGTACAATTAAAATCATTAAATATAGGGAATATATTTGGTAAAATAAATTAAAAATCATTCAAAATTAACTTGAATAAATCTACCTAGGAATATCTTTTCTTTAGTATTCTGATTTTATAAAAGTCAATCACTGAAATGTTAATTAAAAACTTATAACCTCGATAATAGACTTAGTTACGTTACTAAGCGATCTCGCTCTTTGATCTTAAATCTTAATTTTATTTCATATAATAATATTATATAATTTTATATCTAATGCATGACATTGTAATTATATACCTTTGTGCTATACGATGTAAATTAAACGGCGCCCATCGGTGTAATGATGGACAAATTTTATTCTAGGTACGGAAGTGGTGCAGGTACCTTGGGTACCTTGGGTATTATTATTTCTGTAACTCACCTAGGGTGGTATTTTTTTTAAAACTATGTTCTACGCGAAGAAAAATAATTTTGGCCCACTTGTACTCAACCTTTTTTTATGAACGTAACATTTAAAAAAAAACCATAATTACGACCTTCATATTTTTCATTTATTAATACTAAATATAGATTATACATCCTAACTGATTATGTGTGTAAAGTAGGAGGATTATCTGTTAGGTACAGCTTACAGAATCAGTTGACATCGCTCTTTTTGTCAAGAAATCATTTAATTTTGTTCGTGCTTTATTACTGCACAGTGTATTCCATTATTAATATTATTATAATTTCAAGTTTAATTAAATGATTTTGGCTTGTATTTATGATAGATCTGAAAGACTGCAGAGGCAGGCTGTAGCCATTTAACATTTTTAGCCAATAATATGAGTACCACGAAGAGGTAATACTTCAATTATAATGTATATTCTAAGAAATATTTGTATTATTTATCGCATTTATAAAAATTCATCGAAATTATAAATAATTGTTACACAATTCGTACGTATTTTTTTATGTAAATCATTTTCAAACCGCATTAATTATATTTTTTGTTACAACCGTCAACCGTATTAAATACAAGCATAGTTGACAATTCGTAATTATAATTTTATTTACTCGTGTAATTTTTATAGTCTACTTGTTCGTCACAAATGCATTATTGTAATATTGCGCTCCTATATAACAGTTGAATTTACACACCGTCCACTGTGTTAATTTCTAAGAAAAGAAAACTATGAAAACTTTTCCATATGTAGCAAAATGTATCATATCTGTTGAATATTATTCACCCTCTGAATGTTGTTGTAATATAATATTTACCAAGATTCAATGTTGATGCATTTCATTAAAACTTATCAGTCAATTTTTGTATTTTTGAAAGTGTTATATAGTTGCAAGTACTTAATAATTATAACACATTACAGAATGATAAAATGTGTTATAAATAGTTCACACTTAAACAAACATTTTTTTTTTTATAAATGGTGAAACCCATAATGACTGAATGCAACTCCAACGATGAAGAAGAAAATAGCATATTATTAACATAATACAAAAGAAATTAAATATAAAATAATCGGTCCCGATTGCCAACCAGAAAATGTTATCTGATTTCTTAGGAGAATCGAACTTGAGACATATTATAATTATTAATACCTACAAATAGCCGTAAATTTTTATTCAGTTGTGAAGCACAATTTATTCAAAACTTATTTATTATTTAATTCCCCTTTTGAATTCATCTAAAATATCATAAGAAACTATTTCCAAAGCTTGAGATTAATAGAATATAAATAAATACCTACAAAAATTAATTTCTTTCAAAAATATAAAAATTAACTAAACATTAATTAGAGCAGCCACTTATTTTTGTTTATTTCAAAAAAGTCAAAAACAATCATTGTTTGGTGACTTTTACTGCTGTGTTCCTCGGACAGTTAAAATCGTATACGTATCGACTTGTTGTGAAAAACAATATAATAATGAAAGTAGGACATAAATTACCTAATGGTTTGTTGGGTGCGGAAATATCCTATAATTGGGGAGCATGAATGTCCTAAATACCGTTTATTACCTGTATCTAACAAATAATGATATAAATAGGTACACCATAATACGTCCATACAGCCAGTGGCGTATTTTGAAATTTTTTGTGGGGGGGGTCTAAATATTAGGTACCTACAAGTTTATAATATAAAAAAACACATACGAGTTACGATGTAATAATTATATTATATTATATTTTTTTCTGGGGGGGGTCCAGACCCGGGGACCCCCCCCCGTAAATACGCCACTGCATACAGCACATTGGTCAATACATCAGAGTTGTTTGTTATTATTTTGTATTTGAAGCTTATTAATTATTATTATAGTTAGTATATTGTATAAATCATGTTTTTAACTTTGAGCTGGGTAGCTAAAAGTTGGGTTTATTCGTTGTATACTTGTATATAATATAATTTAGGTACCTACTTGTTAATGTATATAAAAAAAAAGAATTATAGTTTATGGAGTTATATATCATGATTCATGGCGGAGTCGGTCGGTTATATATATCTACTTACAGAATTTATAATATAACTTACAAGTTATAAGTATACGTATATATATACATAATAAATATGTGCGTATATTTTAACTGAACAAAAAGGACCGGTGAAATCGAAAAATTATTCTGGCCACTCTTTATTCCTTTTGTAAGACATTCGGTGCGGTTTTTTTTTACATAATGGTTTTTTTAATCTTAAATTTGCAAACGCCTCGCTGGATATATAAATACCTATCTATGATAATAATCTGTTTTGTATGTTATTATAGATTATTCGAAGACGAAGAACAAGACTTGTTCAAGGACCTGCAGTCTTTGCCGGGAAACGCGGCGTTAAGGAAACTAAACGACTTGATAAAACGTGCAAGATTAGCCAAAGTAATTATTGTTATTGATGGAGCACGAACGTTGTCGTGCACTATTGAAATCCGAAATGTGACGCATGTCACTTATAGCGATAATTGTATCGTTCCGTTAAAAAAAAAGTTTCGTTTTTGTTCACAGGTTCACGCTTACATAATCAGCGCGTTACATAAAGAAATGCCAGCTCTTTTCAGGAGAGAAGGCAAGAAAAAAGAATTGATCAAGAACCTTGGCACAATTTATCAAAATATCCAGAAAGAACAACAGATTTCGCCAGGAGATTTTCCCGATATCAACAAAATGCAGGTATGCAAGAATATTGTCGATTTCTGTAATTATACATTTTGTTCGTTCTCGTATTATAATATAATAATATTAATTATTATATATTATTTTTTACGATTCCTGTCACGTATTTCATTGACCAATTGACTTGCAATGGTGTTTTTCAGGAAGTACTGGTGAACTTAGATTTTAGTAAATTCCAAAGTCTTAAACCGCATCTATTAGAAGAGGTCGATAAGATGCTTGCCAACGACATCGCCAAGTTGATGGCTATGATCCCTTTGCAGGACAAGTATAACCGTAAGATGAATAATGGAGACGCCGAACAGCAGGAGCAACAGCAGGCCGTAGTTAAAGGTATTTATTTTTTGATTTTTTCACGTTTTCATGTTATGTTATAAATAATAATACAAAACGCTAGGAAACACGAATAAACACTCTAATTTATGACACACAATAGGTATTTCATAAAAATAAAAGTATTTAGTATAGGTAGGTATATAGTTTAAAAATATCAATGCTATAAAAACTTTAAAATCTCATTAATTATTAAAAAAAAAAAATTGATTAACTAAAATATGGTTACATTTTAAAATACATTTTAGCAATTTTATTGATTCCATCCCAATTATATTATAGCCTAAGGTTCTTTTGTTATTTAATTCAAAATATTGACAATTTTTCACTAAATATTAATTGTTCATCTGTATTTATCTCAATATTTTTATATATTTTATTCAGATTGCATAGACTACCTATAAGCAATCCGTTTGTTAAATTTATTTTGGTACACAATTTTTATTGGGTACAATAAATTCACAAAATGTTAATTTTATCTATTTACGATTTTGTTTTGTTTTCAATTTTTTTCCTTTTCAAAGTGTGGCAGGTGTTTAATAACTCCATAGGTTGATTTTAATTTAAAATATTTTAAGGGTTGGTGCTATATTTTTAAATAATTTACATCTAACCCTTACCCATAACCCATATTTCATGTATGCCGTAAAACGCTATAATATACTAATCAATAATCATAGCGTTGTGTGTCAACTACTAATGTATGATGGTTTTCAACAAAAATATTGTACCTATTATTTATGATAATTAATAATCATCAACGATGAAATTCGCGTTCACTTTGTAGGTGGTGCGTTCGTGAGCGTCCAGGACACAGCGAGCCCATTCGGGTACAAGAGAGGAGAAGGTATTGATGCTGGCAAGGGCGAAACTGGTTGGGTGGTGGCCAAGGAACGGCAGAAGTATGACGCGGTATTCAACACGCTGGAGAAGTCTGACGGAAAACTGTCGGGAGCCGGTATGAAATTATGTATCATATATTATATAGCTAGGACTATGAATTTAATCCACTATAAAATGCTTTTCAAAACAATTAAAATAAAATGTATTAGGAATTTAGAGTTGTTTTTCATAAAATAGGTTGATACGTCAAAAATAAACTAAGAATCTACCTACTAAGTTTAAAATGACTAAAAAATGTACAGTTCAAAAGTTAAAAGTTTTAAAGTCAAATTATCTTTCTCATCTAATATTTAACCTTATTGTTGCAGTGGAGACGATTATATTTTATGTAAGATAGTGCTTGATGGTCTAACCAAGATTTTGTCACTCTTTTTGCAGTGGCCAAAGCTGAAATGGTGAAATCGAAACTGCCCAACTCGGTGCTGGGTAAAATATGGAAGTTGTCGGACATTGACCACGACGGTTTTCTAGACATGGATGAGTTTGCGTTGGCAATGCATCTGATACAAGTGAAGCTGGGTGGACATGATCTGCCCATTGAAATACCCGATCACTTAATTCCTCCCTCAAAACGGGACGTTTAGCTACAGACAGAAAGAAAACAGGAATCCTATGTACATTATAATATGTAGTAGACACAACACCAACACTCAAAAAAAAAATTGTACCCGCCTGTACACATAATATTATATATAACATAATATGCAATGCGATTTTTGTATATTGTATATATTATATTACGTAATGTGGATGTATCATGTATGTTAATTTATTTATATATTTATATAGTCAATCGAACGAAATATATAACACAGAGTACCCTTCCCCCCCAAGAAAAAAGGCCCAGTTTGTCAAATTGTTGAGTATGCTCTGTCGTTTTTAGGGGTTAAAACGAAATAATTACACGGGATATGAGCACTGAACGGCAACCGAAGTTATTCATTATAATGCCTAATATTTAGATAATGTTTTTTTTATATCATATATTATAATATCATACTACCTATACTGTGTGATGAAGAAGTGTTGCTTTTTTGTTGTTGTTATTTTTGCGGCATTTAATTTTTGTATCAATTTTGCAGCGACCATGTGATATTTATTATTTATTATTATATATTTTATATACTTAAAACGAGAAGAAAATGTCAATTTTGTTTAATCATTGATAAATTATACGCTATTCTAATGTAGATTATACGATGTAAATTAAATTATTGTTTTGTACTACTCAACAGACTTATTATCGTCCAAAGTGTTTTTGCCGAAACAACATATTATATACGCGGTGTTAGCCGAGACCAATAATAATATATGATTTTTTTTTTTATATATATTTATATATATTGTAACAAGTAAACTACCACTATATACCTAGTTAAATTATATTTTTATTGTAACTGATAAATATATTTATGTAATTTATCTTAAAGAAATGTATTTATATTTCTTGTTACACGTGTTTTTTGAATTTGATTATATATTTTTGAAATTAAATGCTTTATTTATTAAAACAATATTTTGTTGTAGTGGCTGAAATCTTAGATGCATGCTCACCTTCACTATGCCAAGAATTTAGAATTCTATTGCCGTCCCTTACATTTTATACAAGACTGTTTAAAAACCATCAATGTGCATTGATTGTCTGCATAATCATTGTGAAGTGCGCCAATCGCTTTCAAGTATTATGTATACACTGTCATATCACAGTGGTGAAAATAATAATGCTTTTAATTTGCATATACAGCAATGAGCAAATGTTTTAAATATTGGCCAACAAATATTTTTGTAATCTCTTCAAAATGTTGTATAATATTGTTTTCAAGCCTTGGAAAGTTGGTCAAACTAGTAAGTTACCAAGTTAGTAACTATTTATTAAATTTTAAAAAAATGACTCGTTCTCTAAAATTATTTAATATTTGTTACACAATATTACCTATTTATAATTTTCATGATTAAACCGCATTCATTTAAATGATTTAACTTATTTGTTAATACATTTTTGTGTTGTTTACGATAATTACTTTAATTTAATAATAATTTTTTTTCATGTTTTATAGACAACTTACAATATTAATTTTATTATTACAGCTTCAAACTATTTAACAATTACTTTTTTCAAAAAACACCAAATTTGATCACATGTCTCGCACATCTAATTGCTTGAATGCTTGATTTTAACCATTATGTATCGAGATACAATCAAGTTACTCCCTTGTAAATCTTGACTAATTTCCTCTCCAGTTAAAAGAATTCTTGAAAAATAGTATCCTGTCTAATAATTATTTTTTGTTATAAAATAATATAATATATTAATATAGATCATAATTTTGTGTTTTTCCTATCAGTAAATATATGTTATGAATTATAAAATAAATTATCAATTTAGAGGTCACAACATTCACAACACTGTATTCCAATGAAGTAATAACATTATAAGACATAATATGTAATAAAAAATTTAAAAAATTAAAATTAACTAAGTTTTATTTTTAAAATACAAACATAACAAACTGTACATTGTAGACATAAATTTACAAATCTGTGCTTAGTTGAGAAAATTGGTTGACAACAGTTTATAAAATATAAATATTAATTTTTGGTGTAAATATATATTTGGTTTTTTTAATCTTACAAACAACTTATGTGTTCATTTAATCCAGTATATAATATTTCTGAGTAAAAAAATAACATTTATAATATTAATCAAAAATAGAGTTTCAAATTTGAATACTATTTTTACTTCAAAGCTTGACAAATGCTATTTAATAATGAAGAGACCGTAATTATTCAAAATTGTTCATGGGTTACGATATTGTATATATTAACAAATAAAAATATTTTGTCGAAAATAAAAATACTGTAAAACACACGTTATTAGTACCAAATAACTATAAGCTTCGTGCTAATTTATAGTTAGTACTTAGTAGTTACAATGATACTTGATCACGTTAAACACACTAAAATATTGAAAGTCAAATACTCATAAGAAGCAAAAAACAATAATACAATTTTAGCTGACATTATAATATTTTGTTTTTATTTCTGCCGAAGATTTTGTGTATGCTTCTTGCATTGCAGTTCTAGATTTCTCAATAAGATCAGGTAAATCTTCTTTGGTCATTCCTTCAGTGGGTATAGGAGGCAATATTGTTATGACTGCGTGGCCTTAAATAACATAATATACATTAGTAGTAATAATATTAATAAAAATAGCATTCACATTGGAAAGTAAATACCATCTACCTAAAAAGCACTTGGCATTAAAATCGGCAACAAACAAACTACCGCAAAACTATAATTTAATGGCTTGAATTGGTAAACTTTTATTTATCCCTCGAAAAAAAAAATGATTATGGGATTTACAATTGATTAATATGAACTAACAATTTGTAGAATTTTCAAACACTAAAGTTTATTTATCTTGTTCAAAATAATATAGTGTTTTATAACAATATGATTTATTATTGGTAAGTTAATTTCTGTATGTATTGTTTTGACCCAGCAAATATAATGTTAACAGATTGCAAAATTTGTATCAACCGTTAAAGCACAATAACATACACATAATAGCAGTAACTGATTTTAATGAGTAAAAAACAATACTATCAACACTTTGGCTTACCGGGATCAAATGTACGTTTTCCGTGGTCCACAAAGAAATATTGGGTAACAACTACTGGCTGTATAGGACACTGAGCTGAAATTGCAACATGGAAAGCACCTTTTTTAAAATTCAAAAGTTCTGGTCCACCGTGTCTTGTGCCTTCAGGAAACATGCAGAGCTTTGCCTGTCAAAAAATAAGTGAAAATAAATGTAATAATTTGACAACACAGTGAATTTAATTCAAACAAAAATTTAATGTTTCAATAAGATACTAACAGTTATTAAAATGTAGTACCTTTTTTGTTTTGATGGTGTACTCTCAATTATATGTAATGTTTATTATAATAGAAACATCAAAATATTCTTTGGGAAATCAAAATAAATTAAGAAAACAATATTTTACCCTAGAAAAAGGTTATTATCGTGTTAGCTGTAATTACTTGTTTATGACGAATAGCTTCTCCAGTCTTATTAAGGGTTCTCTGAGCACTTTCTGCATTTAGACGGTCGATGAATATTGTTCCCCACAACCACGACGCTAGACCAAAAGGCCAAACGTAAAATATTTCTTTCTTGGAGATCACAGTGCATTTTTCCATTACCGGATATATTTCAGACAATACTGAAAAAAATAGTGAATCAGAAAATGTACAGTGTTTATTATTTACAATAACAACTCCCACAAGTAATCCATAATCCACTTACCTAATAAATCCAAACAGCTTTGATGATTGATCAAAACAACACAACCTGAATTTTGTACAATATTTTCTTTACCCTTCATTTCCCATGTTATACCTAATATTCTAGATACTTGACGTCCACCCCATGCAGGTAATCTGATGAAATAATAAATAAATTATTAAGCTTGATATTAATTGTTTCAAACATATAAGCCATGTATTTATTTACAATCCATTCCTGTAGTCTCTTGGTCTCCATAACATTAATGGTAAGAATATAGTTGCAGATATATATGACAATACTGAAAATATGGTATATTTGGCGTAGTAACGAAAAGCATGACTAGAAGTGTACATGATAATAATAAACATGATCGCGGCAGTGCTGGTTATTTCAAACTTATAGTCGTTTATCAGTAGCATTGTTATGAGGTCTAAGGTCGTAACATAATCAGGAGCTCTGGAACACAATAATTTATTTTTTGTTGAACAATTTTTTGTAGGTACAAGTTATAACTGTTACGGGAGAAATTATTCACAGTAGGAACATAAAAATTGTAAGTTGGTACCTAGGTGTATATATAATTAGATATATTATGCTAGATGTAAAAATCATAAATTATTTTCTTATCCTTTTTTTTTATTTGTTTGTGAATCCTAATTTGTAAAGTTACACAAACAATAATTATGCTTGATATCTGCAATCGAGGTCAACTAGGTATAAACATTATATGAGTATACTATTCGAGTATACTTAATTATAATCATATATTTGTATACCGAGTAATAATATGACGTTAATGGTTAATCAACAGAATAGATTATTATTATAGTTTTAATCATTGTTATGTAATTCTGATGACATGTATGTGAGTATGCCAATTTTTAGGTTATTTGTTATTCATTTTTTGATACTAAAGTTTTCTACAAAAACTATATAGGACACACATTATTAATCATTCATACTACGACAAATTATAAATTGCTTATGATAGTAAAATTAATTAAACGTCGATAATATAGATAAAGAATATTATGTTGTTGAAAACGAACAGAATTATTTAATTATTCACACGTTACCTACTTTTGATGTGTAACCACTAATCAAATTTATTCAAATTAAAATTGGCGGATATTATTAGTAATTTATATTCAGTTATAATTTTTCAAAAAAATTTGTTAATTAGGTAGCTCAATACTTAGTATTTATTTTCATTATTAATAGGTCTAATATTAAAGATGCTGCTTAATATCTGGTAAGCACATTTTCGCTTTGCATTGTACAGAAACTATTTCTATTAAAATAAAATTTAAAATTTAATTTAAACAAGAAAGCATCACATATAGGTAGAAGAAGAACAAAGTTAGATAAAACAGTAAGGAATAAAAATCCAGGGGTTTTAGATGTTTAAAAGTAAATTCAATCAGATTTGTTATTTTATTGCTCAAAAAGTCGTCTTGGTATTGGTACCTAAACCTAATAGGTATTATATTATTTTGATTTAAAACATGCCAATAGACCTCTCCTCGGATTGAGATACCTTAAAAAATGTGTAGGTACTTACAATATTAATTAATCGAATTATCGTGCGAAGTTGAGCGTTCGAAGGTTTTGAATATTTTATATTACATTATAATAATATTATATCATTCTTTTGTCACGGCCGGCGATGAAGAAATAATAAAAAAAAAAACCGATAGGTAAGTACAGTAAGTTGTTCAACTTCGGACGATTTCGTTGAAATAATAATTAATAAATAATAGGTATTGTCCGATACGGTTTCTGAGAACTACGAAGAGCAGAACTCGAAACGAAAAACCTGTGCGAGGTCGACGACGACGTCTTTTACTTATTGCTTTTTAGGCACCTTATTGTTGCGTAAACGAAAACTGGTCGTGTAATGAGTTTTAATATGACATTGTTCCACTACTAAGCACTCGCTCGACGTACACGACTTAAGAGTGTCTCGAGTGCAGTAATAGTAATAGTGAATAAATGTCAGACGATATTACGATAATGTATTGCATGCATAATTGATCTATAACATAATTGATTAATATTATGCATTCATGCGCCGAACCGCGAGCGACCGACACAACCGGCGTAAGCAGAGATCGGAATAAATCGTTAATCGTGACAAAAGCGGCGGAGACGGACGGAAATAATATTAATGTTAAAGGTACACCAGTGGTTTTGATTTCAACAGCAGAAATAAAATGTAATTACCGTTTTCAGTCGAAGTGTACCGCATCGCGTGTGTGCGTCTCACAGTGCGCGAAAACTGTGACGATAATATTATACGATATTGTGGGTGGGAGCGAATGGTGGTGTGTCGACACGTGGGGTATATTTATATATCGATCGAACGAGTGAAATGAGATCTGACTGGCGGATCAATGATTATCCGTGCCCAAAACAGGGGCAATCAGCATTCAGCGTATCACGTCCACACTTCACGGCAAACTATACAGTTGTAGTTGTTGTATCCACGCCGAAAACTAAAATTAAAAAATTTTACAACAGTCCCATGCCAGAGAGATAATTATAATTTATATTCCAGCTGCAGCTGATAACGATGTTTTTGTACAAGCCCGGCTTGCGTCACGAACTAAGATATAATAATATTATTATATTCATCTAAATGTGTAATATCATCATAGAACAATATGAATATAATATATATATATATCACGAAGACAGGAAGACTAGTCTTCATGATTAATATTATCTTAACTCGTGATATCACGTGATAGATAGCATAAAGTGTCGTTGGTTGGTGACATTGTTCGGCGAGTGGTAAGAATGGTATGATGTCACGCGCCGAACAATCCGCTGGTCCTTATCACAGTGCGATAAAAATTTATTAATTTCATGTCCACGATCCGCACTCCACAATCATTGTAGTTCAAAATAATAAATATTATGTACGGTACAAACCTAAAAGAGTAAAAGAACTAGAGACGTCATAATGTCATTGTCGTGGTGTTCGGCGAATGGAAATTAATAAATAATATAATATTATTAATGTTATATTAGTCGAAGATCTGAACGATAGAAAGTGGATCATCATTGTGTAACCGCGTATACATATTCCGAGTACAAGACGATGTCCTGTTCCCGTATCAGTCGTCTTTGACACCATCGCCAACAGTAATAATAACAGTCTTCCCGACCTTGCGCTTCCTCATTAAAAATACGTTCGGGTCTTTCGGTCGAACCTCCTTCGTCAAGCATATGGTGTCGCGGGCAGATTGCGCCTTTCCATCCGACAAATCTTTCTTCTCGCAGAGGATCGTCGCTGTTTCCGCGATGAACAGGAGAAAACTGAAATTGGACATGACGCACTCAGCTTCGGATGGCGGTAAGTCGACAAAATCTCTCACCACAAATGCTGATTCTTTGTAACGTTTATTACGACATTTTTGAAACTGGTTTGAATTATTATTGACCGAGGTGTCAAGTCATCGTTTTTAATACTGGATGCAGTCCAATGCAACGTATTTTTTTCGCGTGGTTGACGTTGTAGGTCAGATCTTTTTATTCGAACCGATATACTAACTACAAACTTTAATTCAATACTAATAGAACTGTTTGTTTTTGTTTTTCTTATTGTTATGGAACACTTAATCTACATTATTTCTCACAACTCTGGGAGTATCATCATTGAACGATTTTAAGCTCAACTAACTTCATCACTGTTTAGTTACAAATTTTTTTCTTATTCTACATTTAATTACTTTGTTGCATACAAACGATGGTATTTCCTAGATAATTATTGAGTAAATAAATAAGCTTAATAAATAATATGTTGAAGTCTTAAAAAATTGTAATACTATACTCTGTTCAGAATAAAACGACACCAGGCGGCCACTGTCAAAGCCGCTTTGCTGTGTAAATCTAGTCTGCTCTTATTCTGAGTAGGCTATACAGCTATTAATTGTTTATAATGACAATACCTATATTGATCACAATCTGATCATATCTATTATGTAGTTAAAAAGTATTTATAACCTATATCCAATTATTTTATGTTTACAGAATCTAAAGAAGTTGAAAATTACGTTAATAATGTCAAAGAACAAATTATGAATGCAACTGAACTTAATAATTCTGACTATGGTTTGTATTAATAGTAATTTGGTATTAGCTATATATTCAATAATCAATAGTAGTACCCATACCTAATGTAAAATAGTTTTATTATTTTTATCCATCTTGAAATGTTTATTAAATTTTTTATGTAGTATGGCAGGAGTGTTATGATGATGTATCAGGATTTATTTACTATTGGAATACCCAATCAAATAAAGTCACATGGGAAAAACCTGAACATTATGAAGCAGCACATAGTATTGAAAATCAAGGTATGTTGGATATTATTATGAATTATGATCTTGAGGAATGACAAAATAAATCATAATATAAATACATAAAGTATGATTAGTAATTATTTGCTAAAATTATGTTCTAGATGTTGTAAACAAGACAAAAAACTCCAGAAAACGGCTTTCAAGTGATTCTCTACCTACTCTTGATCCAAATTCATGTAATGGTTCTAAAAAATCAAAACTAGAATCAAAAGTTTTAAGTGCACTAGTTGCTTATGGAAGTGATTCTAGCGAGGATGAGAATGAAGATGATAAGAATCAAAAAACTACTATACTTCAAAGGTTGCAACAAAAGGCTGAAATGTTCAAACAAAAGGAATTGGCTAAATTATCTAAGCCTAAATCACCTGGTTCGTGTGAAACAAATGGTCAGCCTGATATATTGGACATTATTGACAAAGAAGTACCTCCAGATTATTTAGTAGACAAATCTAAAACATCAAAATCTTCTGAAAAGAAGACTACTGGTGACATTTTTGATATTTTAAAAAGTGAAGTACCCCCTGATTATGTCGATGTCACATTAAACAATAATACTGTAGAAGAAAATAAATTAGTTGTTCCGCTGGATACTAATGCTATGGGTAAACTGCATTCAAAAACTGTTGAAAATGATTCAAATACTGAGGAAAAATTAAACAATTTTACTTCAGATTCTTTGAAAGAAAATTCATTGAAATCTATAAATCTTATTGCTAATTATGGTGATGAAGATCTTGAAGATTTAGGTAACAATTTTCTAGTTCTATCAATTTTAATATTAGGAAATTATATATGCATTAGTATACGTCATACTATCTATACTCTGTTCACAAAAGACCGTGACCCGGCGGAAACCAGTTTTTGTAGAGCGGAGGTCTGACATCTGGTGAAACGATGTCCCCATTATGGAGACACGTCGGGCTCTGCCACTGAACAAAGGCCCATGTGCACAACTTGGCCACCCGGTCACGGTCTTATTGTGAACAGAGTATATATTACAAAATATTAATAAAAATTATTTTTATATAATTTTACAGATGATCAAAAAAGTGAATCAAATGAGAAAACACTTTCATATGTACAAGACCCATGTGCTAATATTAAAACTGGATTTGGTTATTCTGTCTCATCCAAACATAAAAACGGAGGTTCTATCAATTTTGTAAAAGGCGAAACAATAAATGTACACGATAATCATAATTCCACTAAAAATAATGTTTTTTCAAAACATGAAAAAGAAACTATTAAAAACTGTGATATGAAAAAATGTAATGCATTTCTAATCATTTTAAACTAATAGGTATTAGTTGATTTTTCATAATTATTGTAATCATTATAATTTTACTTTTAGCTAAAATCCATATTGAAGATTTGTCACTGCTGATCTCATCAAAATTACATTTTCTATCAGATTGTGAAAATAATGAAAAATTGTCTTCTGTTCAAGTTATGACTATTAAAATTGATGTAAGTTTAATTTGTTTTTTAAATTATTCACAAAGAATAATGTTAAAATAATAATACATATGTAAATTATGCACTCTCGTTGAACTGCTGATATACAGTTAAATCCTATTTAATTTTTTCAGTGAAATTTTAAACTATATAATTGTGTAATTAAAATTGTTACTTAAAATTGTTTTATGATACATCAGTTTTACAAAATAATATTATCTGTTAAGTTAAAGTACTTACATGTTTAATCAGTCTTATGTTTTTCTATTAAGTTTTTAATGATATGTGGTTTTTTTAGACTTTAATGGAAGCCTGGAAAGATAATTGTTTGAATGACGAATATTTCTCAAAGTGGTTGGATGAAATGGCTATCGAGTTATGTACTTTAGAAGAGTCAGTTGCACCAGACGGATGGACATGTCAATGGGACAAGTATGTGACATGTAATTTGTTAAGATTATGGACTAACAAAATACTTAATTACAAAAGAGTCAAAACATGTATTTTATTTAATTATATTCATTTAGGAGGGGGTTTATTTTTATTGAGAACTTTTAAACAAAATATTAGAAGTTCTATTGATTTTCAATAGTGCAATTATTTTGTAATAAAGGCTAAAGCAGTGTTTTATCCTATTTGTCTGAAAACAAGTAGGTAAGTATGTGGATGCATCTAGACACAACATGATCAACTTCAATGCAGATTGAAACGAGGAAAAATCAACAAAAATTGACATGAAATGTGCAAATTAACTAATTATTACTGTAATAATATTATATTTTTACTACTTTATATTTAATAGTATTCAATTGTATGGTTTGCATATGAGCCGTGTTAAGCGCAGGTGGAATAATATGGCGGAATTAATATCTACAACACAGGTTTGTCTCCAACAGGCTCTACGACAACATTTTTTCATTATTAAAATGGTTATTTGAGTTGAACATAAGTATTATTATTAAATAAAGTTTTTATATTCTAAATCATTAATATTAATTTACAAAAAAAAAAATGTTAGTAATGTTTTAAGCATAATTTTTTTTAAATTTTTAAATGTGTCTTATCTAAACTGGTAATACTGTTTGTTTTATAATGTTTTGTTATGAATATTATTTTAGAAATAACACGCGGTATTACTATCAGAATGATGTTGATGGCCGTACACAATGGCAATACCCAACCGAGGAATCTGAACGTACTCCTTCGCCACCCATGATATCTAATGCAAGCACTCCTCCTCCTCCAAATATTTCCGATCAGAGTTCTTGCCACCCTGAACCAGTGGACATGGATATCGATGAAGATAATCATAAAGAAGACACAGAAATTATTGTTGTATGGAAAACAATTGCATTTGGTGTTCTTTTTTCACTATACTTGAGTTTTTTTTTCTTTTAGCCACCAGTCCCTGGAGATGAACTGTCGTATGAATTGAATTCATTTTATGCTGATCTTGCTCAGTTTGAATCAAAACCAGCTGGTCAAATTGAAACAATGATTGCAGTTCCATCTCCTGAAATAGTTGAAACTGCGCCAAAATTAAAAACCCCTATTGACACATTAAAAAATACTCAAGAAGAAGAAAAAGAAATTATCAAACCAAAAAAGAAGAAAAAGGTATGTATATTTTATATCATTTAAAGTGGTTGTAATTGTCAAAATGGATAAATTATTTCTTACAGTCTTTGTTCTTAATATTTTAACAAGGATCACTGATGTATTAATATAAAAATTCAATTGATAGTTACTTAAATTTATTAAGAAGTAATAACGACCTCGATTGATTGATGATTTTATTTCTGCAATAAATAACAATTATGTCACGCCTGCACCGCAAGTTTAAGTTTTAATTGATTGGGGCGGGGTTTTGTTCAACACTCCTACCCCTCTTGGTATTTGTTTATTACAAATATTAAGAGAACGTTGCACCCGCATGTGTCTCTTCGTCTTACAAATGTACAACATAGCAAAAACTGTTTTGCACAGAAACCGAGAACGTTACAGTTATAACTAAGAAATAAATTGTTCACCACAAACAAAGGAGAACTTTGGCTGTGCGATAAAGTTTTTATTTTTTGTTATCAGAACATCAATAAAAGTTATTTAAGTTTGAAAAACACATAAGACTCATGAGATAAGAATAATTAAATTAATTAAATAAATCTTCTTTTAATTAATCTAATTAAATAAGAACACATAATGGATTTTGAAACAATAACAATATTTCTTAGTTATGCCTGTAACCTTCTCAATTTTTTCCTGCGTATTGGAAATGCTAATATAAATATTCAATGAAATTTTCATGTATTTACAGTCATTCGTTTTTGAATTACAACAAAATAAAGAAATCGCTACACGAGAAATCGAGTGAATATCCAATGTTGTAAAATTTGAATTTCAAACTCTCTTAAAAATTTAATTTGAATTTCTTATAGACATTTTTTTTTGATTAAGGTATATAATCTTATAAGGAATCTTGTATTACATTTTAAAATCTTAGATTTAAAAAGAAAAATTTTTGTTAATTTTCGTGATTTTTTCATATTTTGTCAATTTTTGGACTTTTAATGCTTATAAAAAAAAAAACTGTGACCAAGGATTTTAAATGCCTTTGAAACAATAGATATATTGTAGGGCTTCTAAACTCATACATTTTATAATATAAATTAATCAATTGTTAATACTCTATAGAATATTCAATATTATTATATTGATGAATGTGTTTGGAATAATCTATTCATTTGTTTATAGAATTTAACTAATATAAATAATATGATGTTGACATGATGTATAGTATGGATATTGTTTACAGGTGGGAAAATTGGATGTGGGTCTAGGATTGAAACAAAAATATGTATCGTCACTGGTACAGAAATGGCAACAAATTCAAAATGAAATCAAATGACGGCTGTTTCATCACTCACCCATTTTTTGTTTTAGATTAATTTCTAAATCCTTAGTCTTACCAATGAAAATATTAACAATATGTTTGTAAATGATGTAATTACTTTTAGAAATATATTATTATATACATATATTTTAAATTAGTTAAATTTTAAATATGTATTGAATCATTGCAATGTGTAAAATCAGTTATTGAGAGGATGTCAGCTCACACATTTTTTTTATATATAAACCTAGTATCAAAGAATCATTTTAATTGAAAATTAGTTTCATTGAGCATAAACTTACTTTCATTTTAAGATGAAAACCTAATCTAAGGCTTAACATATTGGTAGTTACTCAACAGAAAGATCTAAACTGCACTTGAATCATTATACTATAGGATAGAGAAAAATGTATGTGGAAAACCAGCTTTGACCATTATATAACTAACAATTTAAATTTTAAGTTTGCGGTATAAACAATAATTTTAATTTTAAGTTTGCGGTATAAACAACAATTTTAATTTTGGCTGCCCTGTAAGGAAATATTTCTACAAAAAATTGATTTGTCTAGCCCTAGATAATATTGATGTCTACAATATTTTTATAGTAGGTGTTTTGCTCTAAAACCATTCTTAAGTAATTGACCATTCTGAATGACTGTGATAAATTTTTTTGTATGATTTCATAATCAGGCAACGATCAATACTATGCAGATATACAAACTCTTCTAAATTACTTTAAAATAGTATTTACATACATTTCAATTTTTAAAAAAAAAATTGTTAAATTGCTTATATCAAACCACATGAATAATGATTGCACCTGACATCCTTTCAATGCAAATTAGTAAGAAATTATTGAATAATGTTTGATGTTGAACATCAAATAGACTACATAAGAATTACTTTATAATATGCGTTGTTCACAAGTAAATAATGTATACAACTCAATTTGTATGCATACAATCAATCTCCATGCTTTAATTTTTGAAATTATGACATTTAAATGCAGACTTATTCTAAATTATGAAGTGTTGGAGAATTTAATAATTTTAGTTTTATCCTTGTATATCGGTTGTTATATTTTTTTAATTTAGTATAAAACAATATAATAATTATCTGAACAGACATGTTTTCATCGTGGCAATAATATGAACCGTTGTATCATTAATTAAATGATACATTGACAATTTGTCATGCATTTAGTTCAATTTACAAAATAATTGAAAATGCTGGTAAAGTAGAGTTTAGCTAATGTACATGATGTAAGATGTACTTCAATACAAGTTTTAATTACTTATGTAATTTTGTAAGTATTAAAAATCAAGTTTTCAAAATGTAAATAATGTTGTTAAAATAAGGTATGAATTATAAAGTAAATATTACATTTTGAATAACGACATTTTGTTATCAAACAAATCGCCATTGATAACACTACAATACTACATAAGTTTCTCGTCATCGATTTTTTACACTTTTTGTTTGTTATTATTGTCATTTAAAAATACTAACTCTATATGATTCAAACTTTGTTCAATTAGCTTATTTAATATTCTGTGTATTATGTTCAAAACTTCCCAAAATACTTGTGCAAGCACCACTTTAAAATGTGCTAGTTTGTGTTGCAGGTATTTTTCTAGTCTGAGTAGTTCGTTTTGAATAGAGGGTGCATTTGTCTATTTGAGTAGATTCCGGTTTGTTACAAGGTAGTGGGCGCCGGTCATGGTTCTTTGCTTTGCTTTTGGTTGACGGCTCTTGTCTAATGTAGAGTCCCAGGCTTCTGCCTTTTTTTCTCTATGTTTTCTTCGTAATTGTTTTGTGTGTTTATTGTACTTTGTCGTCAGGTGTGTTGATATTTAATTGGTGTTGTGTTGAGTTGAAGAAGATTAATGTTCTGTTAGTTGAGAAGGTATATTGTTTTCTTGTTTTCTAATTTTTGGAGATGTGGGAACTTTGTTGTTGAGCCTCTAAGACCTAAGTAGTAATATTTTTGCTACTTGAAGTATTGCTCTCAAATGTCCATAATCCATTCGAAATATAATATAATATTCTGTCTAAATATATTTATCATTGCTAAATAAATTTTTATAATAGGACATCACAATATTATATTATTATAAAATACAAAAAAAACTGTAAAAATATTATTTTAACGCCATAAGAAGAGAATAACTTACGACAGTTAATGATATATATTATTAAATAAAGTATTTTATGGGAAGTTGTGAATAGCTTTAATAATTATTTAGACATTGGAAATCTTTTACATTTGACCCCCAAACTCCAGAGTACTAGAGTAACCTTACTTAACCAAAAAAGGGGTAAAGGTTTTTTTACTGGAAAAAGGTGATTTCGGACACAAAAAATGGTTGCCACCGCTTTGCCGTATACAGTTGTCGTTGTAATGGATGTGTTATTACTTGAATTCAATGATAAATCATTGAACACGAAAAACCGGAGACGTTGTGTCTTACTCTTGTATAAATAATCAAATTTAATAGTTAAACATTTGTTTAATAAGAATCTAAAATATTTCGAGGCCATAAACGGTGAACTTTTTATTTTTGAAAGAGGTAAAAACATGTCGGGAACCGTCTATTAAAATTTCTTATAATTTTATAATGAATTAATGAATTAATTAATGCCTATGAATTTCGTCAAAATTTCCACTTTAAATGCAAATAAAAATAATCGTGCCTATCTTTGATATTTTTGAACTGACATTAACTTATAGGAACATTTTGTAAATTTGCAAGCATTTCTTCTAAGTGAAAAAATTTCTCTAGGCTATACCCAGCTTACAAAGAGTCAAAGTTGTTATCATTCGTTAAAAATTTCAGGTATAGGAATTTTTTTTTTTTGCTCTTCTTGATGCTTACTACAACACTACCCGCTCCGCGCAGTCTTTAAAGGAATATAAAAACTAATTTTTTTTTTATTGTTTTAATGTATAGGGCTTTGAAAAAGAATAATTTTGGTGGTCTTAAAATTGTTGTCAGACAATTGGTTCCGTGTTTAAATATAAGTCGCGTTTTACGCGTGACGTCATAAAATCACACCGTCCGACGGGTCGAATCTAATATACACGCTCCGAATTTATTTCGAGGGATTAAAATAATTATAGAGAAAAATTGATTAAAGGTACAAGTTATTAAAGTACATTTATAAAAAGGTTATACACTTCTTTAGATGGTCATTTTATTTTTATTGTGTTGAAATTTGTTTCAGGGTAGTTTATAGGAAAGACAAAAAATAAAAATATATAAAATATCAAACATAATTAGGTTATAATACATACGTATATTTAATAATATTATAATCCGTAATTTAATGTATTAACAAATGTGTTTTTATAATTAATAATAAAAGAACTAAAATAAATGTGTAAAAAAAACCTCAAAATAAAATATTACCATTCAATAAAGGTGAGTACCTTCACTAAATTAAATAGAAGTGGAATAGTAGATTTTAAATATATAATATAACTAGATAATGATAATTATAATAATTCAATTACGTATAATATATTATGTATTTTTTTTTGAAGTAATATATATTTTATTTTGAGGTTTTTTTACACATTTATTTTAGTTCTTATATTATTAATTATAATACCTAATACATTAAATAACGGATTATAATATTATTAAATATACCTACGTATATACATTTTATTTTTTTGTCTTTCCTATAAGCTACCCTGAAACAAATTTCAACACAATAAAAACAAAATGACCATCTAAAGAAGTGTATAACCTCTTTATAAATGTACTTTAATAACTTGTACCTTTAATTAATTTGTCTCTATAATTATTTTAATTGCAAGAAATAAATACCGCGCGAGTATTTAAGATCACCAAAATTACTCTTTTTCAAAACCCTATTATACATTAACAAAATAAAAAAAATAGGTTTTTTAGTTGTATAGTCCTTTAAATAAGTAGGTAACGTAATCATTCATTATATTATTATTATTAGTCGGTACTTAAAACTTTTTAAAAATGTGGTGGCCCTGAAAAGGGCCGTTTTATTGTCAGTTATGGTAATAAGGAATTATTATTTGGAACTCGTGTATTTGGTGACGGCTTTGGTTCCTTCACTGACGGCGTGCTTGGCCAACTCGCCGGGCAACAAGAGACGGACGGCGGTTTGGATTTCCCGACTGGTGATGGTCGAACGCTTGTTGTAGTGAGCCAAGCGACTGGATTCGGAAGCGATACGTTCGAAGAGATCGTTGACGAAACTGTTCATGATGCTCATCGCCTTTGACGAAACACCGGTGTCGGGATGCACTTGCTTCAACACTTTGTAGATGTAGATTGCGTACGATTCTTTCCTCTTGGGCTTGCGTTTCTTGTCGGACTTGGCGATGTTCTTTTGGGCTTTACCCGACTTCTTCATCGCTTTGCCGCCTGCCGATTTACCTCCTGGAGCCATGTTGATATTATGTGTAGTTGATAATATTGCCGTTCTCAACTAATCGTTTGGTCTGAAATCTGAATGATGCGGGGAACAGGGAAAAAATGAGTATATATTACCAAACCAAAGCTATACGTCGATCGTTCATTGGTCGAAATGTCCTAAGTGTGACGGACTAAACAGGATTCGACGGTGGTTACCAGATGGTTGAAAATAATAGTTTCTCTACAAAAAAAAAACATAAAAGTGCCGAGTGAAAACCGCATCGTTGAGTTACGGTCGATAGGCAGACGATATCAAGTTGCTTCGTCTAACTGTTTCGTTTTATCCAATAACAGAAATGTTTCCCTATTTTTGCTTATATAATGCGAATATCCAAAAAAAGTTTTATCATCATTCGTTAGTCGAAATCTACACGAAGCAGTCGTCAACCAAATCAGTCATGAGCGGAAGAGGCAAAGCAGGAAAAGCGAAAGGAGGCAAGTCCAAGACCAGATCGTCCCGTGCCGGACTCCAGTTTCCGGTCGGTCGTATTCATCGTCTGCTGAGGAAGGGAAACTACGCCGAACGCGTCGGAGCCGGAGCACCGGTGTACCTGGCCGCTGTCATGGAGTACTTGGCAGCTGAAGTTTTGGAGTTGGCCGGTAACGCCGCCCGTGACAACAAGAAGTCTCGTATCATCCCCAGACATTTGCAATTGGCCATCAGGAATGACGAGGAGTTGAACAAATTGTTGTCCGGAGTAACCATCGCTCAAGGTGGTGTGTTGCCCAACATCCAAGCCGTGCTCTTGCCCAAGAAGACCGAGAAGAAGGCTTAAAAAATTACTTTCACCCGACACACTTATTATACCAAATAAAAGGCCCTTATCAGGGCCACCAATTTATATTACTTTTAAATTTCGTAACTCATCCGCTAAAAAATCCTACATTTTGGATATGCTTTGCACGGTTTATGAATTATATAACGTTCTATTCGCCTGGGTAGGACGATTAATAGTCAACTCAACTTCAAGAATAAAAATGTCTTAAAGTGCTATGGATATTAATTTTAGCAATGGATGAGTTTCGACCAAACTTTACTTACTACGGTATTTTAATATTATGCAACACAACCTGTTGAAATTATATTATTATATGGAACTTGTGAATTTCTAGTTGATTGTTCATAAATATTTATATATTGTTCAACTATAAATAATATTATAATAATATGATTACTTTTTATAGGGCACAATAAATTAGATTTTGTTTTATAATTTATAACAAACATAGTTCCTTTATGTATATTGTTAATAGTAGTATCAAACTAGGAACAAACCGCTTGAAAAATACTGTACTGTTGTAACATCATCATGGGTTACTAAGCATATCGACTTTATCAAGATTAAACTATCGTGCACTGGTAAAGTATTGTTGTTTAACCTGCACTTGACACATTTTAAAGTGCAAGACTGCTGACGACACAGAATGACATTTCTAGTTAAACAACCTCATAAGTTTCAATCATCATTTTGCCTACACAAATAGTACCAACATAATATTGTATATGATAATTATTATATAAGTAGAAGTGTGCCTATCGATTCAAAAATAGTGGTGTCAAAAAGTAACGGTCACTGTAAGTAACTTTTCACAGCCATTCATAAAGTACCCGTAAGAGCCACTGGGCTAACGTACTACGTAATAGCGTAGACATTTTAATCATAGACCTTATACTTAGTATAAAGTATAAAGTCTATGATTTTAATACATTGCTATTATTATTAATAGGTACCACGACCGCAAATTAGCAGTTCATTCCGATTCCATAATCCATTAAATGTTATAAAAAAAAATGTCGAGACACTGTGATCAGTGTGGTGAAAATATCTGAACAGTAGCAACTGTAAGTTGCAACTTTACTACGGTTAATATGTAGTAGGTATTTTCTCTAAAACACATTACTGTTATAAAAATAGTGCAGAATTAATCACTGCAATATATTTTGTACAGTTATTCTGTTCTTCAGAGTAGCTTTTTTCTACGAATAAACTCTTGTATGTCACTGTAGTGGTGTGTAATTCACGAATGAATCAGTTCGCTGAATTGATTCAATTAGGTAGGTACCTATCTAAGAATGAGTCGATTCACTAGTGGCAACACCATTATTTGCACTTTTGAGAGTTAAACTACTATCAATAGTATCTACTTTCAACTATCAAATATCTTGTATCTGCGGATAAAAGAATTAAATACTCATCTATCAGTTTCGTCTTTACACTTTTAAGTAAATATATTATTATACCACGTTATACTATATACATTATCAATTATTATATTTTATCATACTATTTAGTATTTATACAAATTCTAATTCTAGTTCACGCATCACTTTCTTTTACAATTGTATTATTATATATCGGTAGATTATTGGTATAATAATAATATTTATTGTTAAAAAATTAAAATTAAATGTACAAAACATGTTGTAAGCATAAATTAATTAATCTTTGGTTCTCTTTTTAAAAGCAAAGCTTGTAATTATTATTAATAAATATTATTAAAGGGAAAAAACCACAACATATTAAACATTTCATGTTTTGTATTTTCAATATAAATACAAATAACATATTAACATATAAATAAATAATAATACACAGTGAGAGTGATTCATTTTTTATTTAATATTATACTTTACTCTTGTCAATTTGATTTTATATGTAAAATAAATTATTATACATAAATAATTATTAGCCCTTAGGTTTAAAATATTAAAGGTCACTGTGACTTTAAAACAACTGTTCCCAATGTCACGTTAACTTTCTCTAATCTTAACGCATCTTAACACATGAAATGGTTCACTAAAATGAATTGAAAGGGTAAACCAGCAGGTTATATTTTATTTTGAAAACATTATTTGCTTAGTAAATGTCGGTGAACTTACTCATGTTAAGAACGCGACGGTTACTGGTAACTTTTTATGGATTTGCCGTATTGGAAAACGAGTGGTACCAACAGTAAGTTTAGTGGCCCTGAAAAGGGCCTTTTTAAAAATGTATCTATGTATGTGTGTGTGTGTGTGGTGTCTAGCCTCCGAAACCGTAAAGGGTACGGCCTTGTCGTTTTAGTGCGTAAACGACGTCCATAGCGGTGACTGTTTTCCTCTTGGCGTGTTCGGTGTATGTGACCGCGTCGCGGATTACGTTCTCCAGAAACACTTTCAACACACCACGTGTTTCCTCGTAGATCAAACCGGAAATACGTTTCACTCCACCACGGCGAGCTAACCGACGAATGGCAGGCTTGGTGATTCCTTGGATGTTATCCCGCAACACCTTACGATGACGTTTGGCGCCTCCTTTGCCAAGACCTTTTCCTCCTTTACCGCGTCCTGTCATATTTGGGTTATGTGGGATTTTCTTGTCGAGTGCTGAACAACCTGCTGCACTGAACGTTGAACGTAGACTGATGCCGATCATATGGAACGTCGTCGTATTTATGCGTTTTACGATGCGCGCATGGCCAATCGAAATGCTCGACCGGATTTCTCCCCCCCCCTTGAACTAACCGCCGAGTGCCGACCAACGGGAACGAAGGATACAGTTCCGATTTGTGTATATAAAAAGGTGACTATTTTTCTTGCGCATCACCGTTCATTTTGTTTCTCTGAAATTGTTTAACGACTAAATTGTTTAACTATTACGAGATGGCACGTACCTAGCAAACCGCCCGCAAGTCGACCGGAGGAAAGGCGCCCAGGAAACAGTTGGCTACCAAGGCCGCCCGTAAAAGCGCACCCGCCACCGGAGGAGTGAAAAAGCCACATCGTTACCGCCCGGGAACCGTTGCCCTCCGTGAAATCCGTCGTTATCAGAAGAGCACAGAACTGTTGATCCGCAAATTGCCGTTCCAACGTCTGGTACGTGAGATCGCCCAGGACTTCAAGACCGACCTGCGTTTCCAGAGCTCCGCCGTCATGGCGTTGCAAGAAGCCAGCGAGGCATACTTGGTGGGTCTGTTCGAAGACACCAATCTCTGCGCAATCCACGCCAAGCGTGTTACTATCATGCCTAAGGACATCCAGTTGGCTCGTCGTATTCGTGGAGAACGTGCTTAAAATTATTATTATTATTATTATTATTATTATCACCTTAAAAAGGCCCTTTTCAGGGCCACCAAAAACAATAAAATAATATTCTCGGCTCTCATATTTTTTTACAGGTGTCTTCGCACCCGTACGTGCCGGCCTATACAGCAGTATACATCCGAGGGCTCTACGAACCATAATGAAAATATATTAATTTATTTCAAAAGTAAACCAAAATTAAATTGGTAGATCATTAGATTTTTGGTAATTGATAAAGATTGAAAACTATTCAATTTTAAAGTTCTTGGTAAAATTGGGACTAGTCATTCACTTAGGTGAACTAATTCGTTCGTTCATCGTTCACCAAATTGAACTAGTTCACTGAACTTTACGTAAATGTATTTTAGTTCTCTGGTACCAGATTGTTCTAGTAGCGATTACTGATTAGTGAATGAAACAGAAAATCGTTCGAATACGGTCTCGTTCGTTTAACGTTTTAGTAGTGAGCGTATAAGACAGGGGTGGCCAAACAGTCGATCGCGATCGACTGGTCGATCTTGGACGATTTCTAAGTCGATCCCCATTGATAGACTTGGACTTGCCTTTGTAGGACGGCCTACGGCCTATATAGAGCTCCAGGCTTTGCCTTTTATCTCTTGATTCATGTTTTTCCTTCACAGTAGTGGACGATTCGTCAGTTTGTCATGGTTTATTGGGCCAGAGCCCGAATGTGACGGAATCTCGATACAGAAGCTCTATGTAAAAATACAGCTATTGCCGACTGTATTGTTTCCGAAATGGATAGAATTTCGGTTGATTGTCTTATTGCTTCATTTGTAGTTAGGTAATATGCTCCGGTTATTGTTCTGAGTGTCATGTTTTGGACAGCCTCTAGCTTCCGCCAGTTTGATTGGCTAAGTTGAGGTGCCCAAACGACTGATGCGTACAGGAGGATTGGTTTGATGTAGATGGTGTACAGTTGGATTCTGGTCCTTAGTGGAATCGGGGAATTTCGGTTCAGTATTGGGTAGAGTGAGGCTCTGACTCCTTTTGCTTTTTGTATAGTAGTTTTTAAGTGTCCATTCATTGTCAGTTTTGTGTCCATCGCTACGCCGAGGTATTTTATTTGGTTTTTCCATTTGACTGCTTGGTTTTTGATTTTTATTTGCCGAAGATGTTTATTCTGTCTACTTCCAAATATAATGGTTTCGGTCTTGTCAATATTTAATTTAAGTCTCCATTTGTCTATCCAGAGCATGGTCTCATCCATTTGTCTTTGTAGTTGACATATTGCGTAGTTCCTGTTTTGATGGGCCGTGTGGAACATAGTATCGTCTGCGAAGATGGATGTTTGTATTCTGTCGAGAAGTGGGAGATCATTTACATAGTGGATGTAGAGTAGAGGTGAGAGGCAGGAACCTTGTGGTACTCCTGCTTGTATTTGTCTTGCCGTTGATTGTTGGTCAGCTACTCGTACTTGGAACGAACGATCTGATAAGAATGATTTAATTAATTTGATTGTATTTATTGGGAGTTCGGTGTTAGTTTTTAATTTGTAGATTAGACCATCGTGCCACACGCGGTCGAAGGCCTTCTCCATATCTAGAAATGTTGCAACAGTGTATTTATTTTGATTTTGATTGTTTTTTATGTCTTTGAATATACGAAAGAGTTGTGTGGTGGTTGAGTGGCCTTCTCTGAATGCGTGTTGCTCCGCTCGAGGTTTTACGTATGTACGCAGAGTTCCCAGGATAATCTTTTCAAATACTTTTGAAATGGTTGAGAGTAGAGATATTGGGCGGTGGTTTTCTGGGATGGAGTGGTTTTTCCCCGGTTTTGGAATCATGACGATTGATAGAATTTATTAATTATTCTTATATATTTGCAATTTAGTAGATACACTTATTAAATACATATGTTTCGGATTAACCTGTTAGTGTGAAATGGCTTTTCTCACATGAAAGTTATAATTTATAGAAGCTGAGTAGGTTAGTTTTAGACTTTAACACAGCGTCTTCGCTTGGTCATGGTGTGCAATGACACGGTTCTACATCAACAATAAAATGTTAATACATTTTAAAATTACTTAAAAATTTAAAATGAAACACTCATTTTAGATACCTAACTTAATTTTATTATTTATATAAGTATGTTAATTATTAATATTAAATAATTTTTTTACATTAGTCGATCCTAAAAGAAAAAATATATCCTCAGTAGATCTTAATCAAAATAAGTTTGACCACCCCTGGTATAAGATATACCCGGTAGAACGATGATAATGGTAGAACCAAAATGAACGACGTCGTTCTTCTAATGAAAACTAATTTGAATCGTTCACTTCGTTGAATACTTCAATTGAACTAGGTCGTTCATGAACGACCCATCTCTATAATTAATATGATTTACTAGTGGCTACCTACCTATATTATTTTAGTGCAAGCATTTATTTTGACAAGATTCGAAAATTTAAGGTAGTCTGGCAATCTGGTGTTATCTTAAATACAGAATAATAGGGCCCAGGCCGTCGCATCAAACCAAAGTAGGTTGCACCATTATCGTGTAATTTGTTTCAATATGCAGCGGTAGGTATTGCTCTGAAGGTTGGGATGTCCGATGTTATGACTCGTTGGTCAAATCGTACTTTATCGTGACTATTCAAAAATGTTATTTCATATTATACAAACCTTGCCTTAATAATTAGGTACGAACAGAACAAAAAAAAAATTATTCAAATTGAAGAGCCGTTTTTGAGTTTGAGCGAGAATATAACGGACAGCAATTCATTATTATATATGTATATAGATAATGTCTATCTTGAATATTAAAAAAGCTGAATGTATGTGTTAATGTGTTATATTCCTAATTTATTTCCATAGAAACGATGGCTAGCAACACCTAAAGATTAATGTTTGTCGAATGTTTATAATTTAGTAAACTTGGTTACTAATTTAGTAAATCTTTAAGTCAAGACATTTTAAAGTTTTTAATACCTATTGGCTATTATTACATACAGTTTATCCATCCATAATGTTTAGCTCACTTACAAAGCAATTTGTTAAAACAATCGGACAATCAAGAATATGTTGTACAACCTCCAAGAACATTTGTCATAAAAATTATTCTGATATTTCTAAAGTAAGTTAATATATTCAAACAATATTATTAATAAGTCTTAAAAACTGGTGTGACGTGGCGAAGTGTTTTAATATTAAGGCGGCTCTAAACGATTGGATTTTTCATGCATTTAGACCAATAAGCTAGCGAAAAATACACATACTTCTAGTAGTCAAGTTTTAATTTTGAATACTTATTTGGATTCGTTAGCCTCTTTTCTATGATTTGTAGGAAAAACTTTTTCATCTTTTTGTCTAGTTAGCACTTGAAAGTGCAAGTTAAATTTGAGACATCAAGCAGTCATTTGGAACCGTAATATACGTAAATTATCTAAAATATCCAAAATCGGTTTCCTACAAATCATAGAAAAGAGGCTGACGAATTAAAATAATTTTTCAAAATTGAAATTGAACTACTAGAAGTATGTGTATTTTTCGCCAGCTTATTAAGATTTTTCACTGTTGTGAGTTTACAAAAATATTTTTCGAGAGTGATTACGTTGACTTGTGCATGCGCGTACGTGTGCTATTGAACCGTGTGCCCGCAGCCGGACGATATAAAATCTATTGTTATCAAGTTCGAATTTCTTCGATTTTCACACTAATAATCATTTACGACTAATACATAGATTACGGGCGTCGACGACAAGATTAGAAATTGCCTAAATTGTTCCCCTTAAATAATAGCCACTAAGAGCCGCCTTAACGGAAATACTATTTGGGGGGGGGGGGGTCCATTGACTTTTTTCAAGTTTTGCGACACAAATATTTATAAAACTGCCCAATTTATTAACCTAGATGATAGGCCAATGGGAGGGGGCCCGGGCCCCTCTCCCCACCATTACATCTACCACTGAATACCCCCCATCCACAGTGTGGTATATTATGTAGGTAATAATATAATTTATACTACATAGCCCAGAGGTTTTATTTAAGCTGATAACCTTAAATTTTGTTTTTAATTTTTAGGGGTCGATGTGCAAAAGTTATAAAATTGTAATGATACGCCACGGAGAGAGCGATTGGAATAAAAAAAATTTGTTCTGTGGTTGGTATGATGCCAGCCTGAGTTCAAAAGGTAAATATTAAAATGTTTGATACAATTATTTAAATATTTACTTGAAGAATGAAGGCAATTTTAATTTTTTTAATATTAGATAAGTTCTTACGCCGAAAATACAATTCCAACGCCCTTAATATAATATATTAATATATAATTTAACTATTTAAGTATATGTATTATGTAGGTATACAATTTAAAATTGTTTTCAAAAATCCTTTACATTTTATTCAGTGTTAAGAATTTATGATTTTCTTCAAACCAAATTGAAACGGAAAAACATTTTTGTAAAAAATTTGAATGTAAATAAAATATTTCTACCATAATTAAGATGGCTGAAGGTAACTATAATATTATAACTCTCAAGTTATATTAATATTTAACTTTGTATCTATACTACGTAGGAACCTATACGGCTATCGGACTATACGCCTACCATACGGCCGAGTTGTCCTATTATAAGAGTAAGATTTAAAAAACGGTTACCTAACGGGCCACGAAAGTGTTGCTTAATTATTGTATTAGGTATCTATGATGTAGGTATATTTATTTTAGTCTAATGTACATAGGCGCAATTTGGGTTAAATTTATGGGGGTGCTAGATTTAAGTTGACCAAAGTGACTCGTGGGGGGCTTTGCCCCCCACACCCCCCTACGGCCTTACCACAACACCATTTATACATTCATCGCATTAACTTATTAATCTATAATTTATAAGAAAATAATATTAAAGAAAATAAAACACAGATTCAAGGTACCTATATAAATACAGGTAAATACATTTTTTATTTTTATTTAATTATTATATTAAAGATATACGTCTTTGAGTCAAACCAAAGTTATTTATAATTTTA